CTGTCCACGTCCCAGCATAAAATCATCGTCTGAAGCTGGCGGCACACTGTCCACGTCCCAGCATAAAATCCTCGTCTGAAGCTGGCGGCACACTGGCCGTATCCCAGCACATAATGATCCCGCGGTTGGTGGCACACTCACCACGTCCCAACCAATGTTGAGGGCACACTGGCCACGACCCAAGATGTCCAGGATGATGTTAGACGGCTCTCGGGCCTCGCCCCATCATTTTGCCCGAACTCGAAATCAAATCTGCATCTCTAAGTATGAATTTTCAGAGTCGGGAGCCGGATACTATACCATGGGATTTCGTTCCATCCATCTCTACTAACTCATAGGCCTTGCCTTCAACCTCTCTGATGATCCTGAAAGATCCCATCCACCTGACCTCCAATCTCTTAGTCCACTACGTCTCGAGAGATGTATCATGCAGAAGTACAATATCCCCGACCTGAAGTCGTTCCTTCCTGATGTACCTCTTGTTGTTCCATCGTGTCTGGTTAGATAACCTACTGTTTGACATCCTCTTTGTGGCCTCGATTATGCCCTCATCCACTTCCTTGATCTGCCTGATCCTCAGTCGCAGCAACTCCTCTGTGGAGTATGACTCTCTCTGTGCCTCATGGGTCCAGGTCTCAACCAGGTTCTCAATGGGAGAAGTAGCATACCGGCCGTACCAGAGTGTAACAGGTGCATAACCTGTAGTCCGTTTGACAATCACATTGTCAGCATAGACAGCCGCTCTCAAGAAGGATGGCCAGCTTCTGGAATCACCTCGGCACCACTTTGATATAGCATCCTTTAGAGTCCTGTGACCTCTTTCCACTCGTGCATTAGCCTGAGGGTGATATGGTGTCACAAATCTGACCCTGACTCCAAGTCTGAACATGAGCTTTATGACCATCTCGTTCGTGAATTATGATCCCTGATCAGCCACAAACTCACGTATGAAGGGGTACCTTAAGTAGATTTCCTCGATCGAATCTGCCATAGTTTTTGCTGTTTTTTTATGGATGGCTTTTGCTTCAACATAACCAGACATATTGTCTCTCATATTTAGTATATATTTCATTCCATCCTTACCAGGTGGCATAGTAACTAGACCAAGGTGAACAGTACTACCAGGCTCAACAAGAACAGTGGGGTATAGGGGTTCAATCAGTCTCATAGATGATCTTTTCTTACAGGCTTCACATGACTTACAATATCTCATAACCATATCCCTCAGACCATCCCAGTGATATAGTCGAGATACTTTATAGTATATAGCATCAACACCCTTATGACCCCCTGCTAGACCTTCATGCAGCGCGGCGATCACCTTTAGTTGCCTTTCTCTACCACACACCACTCTCAGCGGCGGTAGTCCTTCCTTAGCATCTACAAAAAGGTGACCCCTACGTAGCCTAAAGGTCCTCTTTGTTCTCTCATTGTAGAACTCGTTCAGGTGATTACTACTCATCACCATACCGACCCTCTTATACTCTCCATCATATTCTTCCTTTCTAAACCTTCCCTCATCATCTTTACTCTGCTCCAAATCCTCTGACCCATCCTCTATCTCATTCAATCGACACTCAACCATTCTTGAACTCTCAGCCAGCTCATGAGCTGCAACAACGGCCTGTTCTACCATCCCATAACATCCTTCTTCCTCATCCTCTTGAATCAAGAGGTAGTGGAGGTAGGGATCTTCCTTTTCTCTCCAGCAATCTTCTCTACTGGTGGCCATGGCTGAGGCCGTATAACAATTGGGAGCAGGAGGTAGCCCTTCTTCATCGTCCCCCATAAAGAATTCGTCAACGAAGGGCGCCTCCTCAAGAGATTCATCATCTATCGATCCCCATTCCACGCGGCTTAACCCATCAGCTCGATTCTTATCAGTAGGTATCTTTTCTAACACAAAATCATACGTCCATATATGAGTTATGCACCTACTGACCGTAGCATCTACTTGCTAATGTCTCTTAACAGCCCCAATTACTGTCGTGGAATCCGATGAATCTTCGTCCTATAATGTAGTATCTAAACACCTTGAGACAATGCAAGATTGCCAGAAGCTCCTTCCTAAACTGATTATAGTCTCTCTCAACCGAATTAAGAGTGCGACTCTCAAATCGAAGTGGTCTTTCTTTACCATTCTCATCTCGCTGCATGAGCACTCCTCCTAATGCTATCGGGCCGCCGTCGGCTTCAATAATGAAGGACCTCTCCCTTTCATCGTCGAAGTAGGGTACTCCTAGTACGACCCCGCCATCTCTTAACTTATCTTGAAGTGTCCGCGCAACCTTCTCTCTTTGGTCAGACCACCCTAAACTAGCTCCTTGTCGCACCATTTCTCTAAGAGGCACTGCTATCCTGGCAAACCCGGGAATGAAGATCCGCCAAAAGCTGCAGACCCCTAGGAAGCTCCTTACTTCCCCAACCGTCCTAAGAGGCATAGGCCAATTCAAGATTTTATCCACCTTCTTAGGATCAGGGCTTCTCCCTTCCAAGAAGCACCTGAAACCCAAGATCGTTACCTCCCTTTGGAACAGTAGTGATTTCGGTCCGCTAGCTGTTAGATTGTACTTAAACAGCCTTTCTAGTACTTTCGTTACTCCCTACGCATGTTCCCACACAAACCGCCTAACTCGTCCATCCACTAAGGTCTCATATTTTTCCTTCGGTCCTTTAACCGGATTGTCATCAATGTATGGGACCGTAACCTCTGGGCATATGTCCTCCATGACCTTCAACATATCTCGCTAGACAACCGCGACCCCATTTGTCCACCCTTGAGGCACCACACACATTTGTATGAGGCCTCTAGGTGTGTGCATGGCGGTCATAGGTCAACTATTAGGATCTATGGGGAATTGGTCATAGCCAGAGTATAAGTCCACTAGGGAGTAAATGCTCCTTCCTGCGAAAGACTCGGCCAACAGATCCGCGTTGGGTAAGCTACCTGCATCGCGAACCGTTATCGAATTCAACTTTTGCAAGTTTTATATCCAGCACATACCTCCTCCTGGCTTCCAAAAACAAAACCAGTGATTGGCATAAGCACCATCCGTTGGTTCTGCAACGTTAGAGACGATCTTCTGGTTTATGTATTTCATTACCTCCTTTTCTTCCTTTTGAGCATATTTCGTGGGTCTATCATTCCAAGGTGTGTGAGGAACGGTCCAAATCTTGACCATTTTGATCATGTCAACGTTCAGTCGTCCCCTCTCCTCATCATTAAAGGAAAAGGCACCACTGTACTTCTGACATAATTCATATATGAAATCCCGCTCAGCCGGCAGGAGGAAGTCATCGGCTCCTACCTTCATTATCTTGAACCTCTCTAGGGTAATTTTTCCCCCTTTTAATGCAGCCTCTCTTAACCCTTTAATTATCTTCCTTTCCTTCTCTAATGCTTCATTATAGTCCTTTTCTATCAAGACTGCCACCGGATTCTTCTTAACGCCCTTGCGCTTATACTTCCTTTTGGACCCGGTGGCTATTTTCCTAAAAAAGGCCCAGTTGCAGAGAAGGTAAGCTGCATCGTGCCAGCTTTTGCCGCCCTCACAGCTTCCTTGAATCCTTCCATCTCTCTCTTATTGCCCAACTCCTTCTCTTTATCTAGGAGCTTGAGCATCTTACCGATATCATTTACTCTAATCGTTGTCTTCTCGTCTACTATCTCACTTTCTTTCAACTTTGCTCGTACTTTCTCAATCAACTTGTTAGATTCTCCATGCTTAAAAGAATTAACATGTCGCTGATGACAATGATGATGCCTGTCACTTATCACAAAAGCCTATTCTTGACCATTGTTAGGGTCCTGGAGCGAAAGCCAAGCCGCCCCATCATGACCAAAGAACGCACAAACCTCCATTCTATGCAGGAAAGGGGCTCCGAGAATGCAGTCATGATCCAAGTTGGGGACCACAAAACAGAGGATCTCGGCCCGTAAAGTTCCAATTCGAATAGGCAAGTCATCAATGAATCCTTCCAATGGTAGAAATCCGGCTATATTAGAGAGTTGGTGATTGGCTTTCCTATCTATTCCAAGCCCACATGATCTCATCGTGGCCGAGGACATAAGCACCATCTCGGCCCCAGAGTCCACTAGGACTCTAACCTTCACGTCGTTTACGGAGATATTCAAGTACCCACACGACATGTTACCAAACCTCATCTTGGTACCAGGCGGGGCTCTTTCCACATGCTGGGGGAAGAGTCTTAGACTATTGACTTCTACCTTCCGCCTCTCAACCATCTTTTCAAGTTCTTCTCTAAACTTTGGCACCAAGGCGACCGCCTCCTTCCAGGATAGAGTGATCTCGGTTTCTTCAAGTAGTTTCTTTACTACTTCATCTATCGAGACACCTTCCTCGGCCTCGGATCTCAAGACCACCTTCCTCTTTTTCCCGGCAGCTTCCTTTCCTTTCCCTTCCTTTACTAGGTCCTTGGTCCCATCAATCAGCTGGTCTAGCTCCCTTTGAGCCTTCTCCCGCTTTTTCTCTTCAACCTGTCTTTGGCTGATATGGGATACGTTCAGGTTTTGATTTTCAGGACTGTCGTCTCGAGCCACTATCTCCGAAGGTAGCATACTGTCAAAGGTGACAACATTAACCCTAGCCTTCTTCTTTTTATCCTTATTGGTCTTAGCCTTTTCTAGGATAACTGCTCGCATTCCTTCTTTGACTCGGAAATCTACCTTGTTCGAGTTGGCATCACAGATGTGCCCATTGGCGTTTTTCTTCACAATCCCTTCTTCGAGCTCCTTTTCTAACGTCGGACACCGGGTTAGAGTATGGCCTTCCTCGTCACAATAATAACATCGGAAAGGGTCATCTCTCCTTTGCCAATCTCGGTTCCTATTATCTTTCTTCCAATCCCGGTCGCGCTTCTTCTTTTGTCTCTCTTTTCTCCTTCGCCTAACGTCTTCCTCATCACTATTTTCGCTCTCACTCTCACTCTCTTCCTTTTGCTTCTCCTTCTTTCTTTCTTCCTTACCTTCTTCGGCTCCAACAAGTGCTTGAGTTGCTGGGACAGGAAGGGTTAACTTTTCGAAGCTACCAAGCTTAACAAGAAGACCAAGGATCCCCTTTGCCTTCAAGTTTCCTCCCGTAGCTGCCTCAACATTCCCTTCTCTTGCACTAGTGATTAGTTTCATCTGTTCCAGAGACCATTTCCGGTTTGACACCGAAGGTAGCTCTCGGACCATCTCAACCACTTCATCCCATTTCAGAGGGTCATGAGCAGCGCGACTTACCACACTCTTTCTTTCGTCCTCCACGAAGTTAGTCAGTAGGACATGACATTTTTGTGCCTCATCTAGGAAGGGTACCCTCCGCGCAACCCTCTCAAAATCCTCTAAGAATTGATCGAGGGTAGCGTACTTGGAACGTCGTACATCCAACAAATTTTGCACGGTTGTTGGGACGTCATACTTGGCGTACTCTTCCAGCATCTTTTGCCTTACGTCCGTCCACGTTGTCAGCCCTTGTGTCGTTTTTGTTACCGACACCCTCATCTTAGGCTCAACATAGGCTAGCAGATCTTTCAGCTTCTGTTTATCCGACCAACCATGGCTCGTACCGAAGACATCATAGTCTTCCAGGAACTCCCTAACCTTGGTTCCATCAAAGCAGGGTATGTTCTCTGGAGGTACCTTAGCTCTCGGAAGGTCTAGACGAACATTCATAGTGTCCATCCCGGTCTTCATGGCCTCTATTCGGTTCAACATCTCTCGAAGAACCACGGTAGTAGTCACTTCTCCATCCCCAGCAGAGGAACTAGCACGGCTCTGCCGTGCGTTTGGTCCTTTGACCATCATGTCTAGTTTATTGATTATACTCCTACTTTTTCCTGAACCTTTTCTCTCTTAGGATTGCGTTTAAAATTGGTTCCCAGTTCCTGCCGTCAGTAAAACTTTCTGGCAGATGGGGCTCGGGAAACCTATCAAACACAATCGGTGTTAAGTCACTAACTACTCTTGTCCCTTTTCTCTTTAATTCTCTCTTTTCTTGGTTAACTATATTACTAATCCAACTTCGAAGAGACTCACGATATGTCCCTTTCTCTCTCAATGAGGGAACATAGGGTCGGATATCGTATTCACCAGTGTCAAGGAACTTCACTACAAGGATATACGCCTTCTCGGGTGCATGTTTCTCTTCCAGAGATATGCAGCGCTCTACCTTGTATGGAAAAACTCCTCCACTGGTAAAAGGAACTAGAGCATCCAGTGCTGCTGTGACTGTCGGACAGTAACCAGACATTGCCTAATCCCTAACTCCTCTTAGTATCACTCTATTTAATTGTCCTCTACTAATGATCACAGTCGCAATTGACATAGAGTTTTCACACTCCAGTATCATTGCCTTGGGCTGCCTCTAGCGCCTCTAGCCAGACTGTCTGTAGGACGTTGTCTAGATAGGATGGTCTCATCTCTCGCATGTAGCATCACTCTCCTGCCATCCGAACTCTTGCAATCCAGCAGATGCCTAATCTTAGTTTGACCCGTAATTGCTCTAAAAGCAGCCGCTCGCATAAGCTCAAGGTAGTACTCTACCATGCCAATCTCGTCGTGCCTACCTAGCCTAGTATCGCATCCTCTCACAACCCCGATGACAGTCGCTTGTTGTTCGTCTAAGTAGACCTCAAAGCAAAAGCTCTCTCCGTCATCAGGAGTGTAGGCATCGATCGGCATGGCTCACCACACTCGATCCCTTAATACCGCGTTGAGGATTGGGCCCCAGTCCTTCCCGTCGCTGAAGCTAGCAGGCACAGGAGGGTCTGGGAATCTCTCAAACTCCCTAGGTAGGACACTCCACGTCATTTTCTTTCCTTGTTGTTTCAACAACAACCTTTCATCTAGGATATACTCAGCAGCAACTACCCAACACGCCTCATAGTCAATCCCTCTTCTTGTTCCAGCAGATACATACGGCCTTACATCATACTCATTTGTATCAAGGAATCAGACTACAAGGACGTACAATATCACTGAGTCGTGCTCACATGTCACACACCTCTCAATGACGTATGGGAAGGCACCTCCAGCCGTGATCGTGGTCAGTTCCTCTATCGCTCTAGTTACTGCCGACATGGGATGCCTACCAGCTCTGCCTTCTCAATGCTGCATTGATGATTGGCTGCCAGTTCCTACCATCGCAGAATCCTTTAGGTACTGGCGGGGTAGGAATCTTCTCGTAGACTTTGGGCAATAAGCTCCAGCTCGCTTCTATCCCTTGCTATCTCAACTGATCCCTCTCGGCTTCGACACACTCCACTATGATATCCCAATTGGTAAAGCAACTAGGGCCCCGATCAGCCCCTTCTAGGACGTAGGGTCGAATATCATAATCATCAGTGTCAAGGAATCTAGAGACAAGCACATGCACAGTCGTCGTACTTTTCACACAAGTAATGCATTTGACAAACATATAAGGGAAGGCACCACCGCAGGTGACATGAATTAGGGCTTCTAGGACTTCTGCAAGAGTCCCCTCCTCTCGGGGCTCCTCTAGCCGAAAAGTCTTTCTGACCTGAGCCAGACCTTGCACGAAATGTTAGACTGCTGCCTAGTCACTGAATTTTGTGACCAAGCTCCGCTCCCAGGAACTCAAAATTTTTGAGTCCCCGGCAACGACACCATTTTTGTCGCGCCCCCACCGTTCCAAGGCCTGGTGCGATGTCTCTCCCTGGGCCGAGTGCGGTGGGTTGGTGGACTGGCAAACTGTCACGCAGGATTTTGGAGAGTTTTAGGAAAATTGAAAGTGATATCACAAGCAGCCTTTGTCACACAGTCGAGTAGTCAGTGTTATCCCTCCTACCAGCGGCGACACGACTTAGAGTGAGGCATTCGGTTTTATCGCCTGCACCTGACCCCGTATAAAGGTTAGACTCAAGGTCATCGGAGTCCCTATTATCCAGGAGTCCTTCAAGTAGCCTTGAGTGTAACCTGTCATGATAAGAAGTGATAGATAACTTGTTACCTCATGCATAAACTTTCCATGCATCACAGGGCATACATCATAAGACAGATGACACTTAGAGGACGAAAAGACCAGAAACCAGACTCTGCAAGAGCATGATCAGAGACAGGAGACTGAAGAGTAGTACACAAAGAATGGAGGAAGCAGCCATAAAGAAGGGGTTGCAGTCACTGATAAATCATAATAATGTCATAGCACATCTCAGTGACTAAAAGATACGAGCCTCAATCAATGACGACAAGTGGTACCCCCTCATAAGTGGGCTCGACTGTCTGGGACTCTATATCTGGT